ACCAAGAGGCTTTACTTCAACTCGATGAACCGCTCAGTTAATAAGACTGGCAGAGGGATGGGAGGGTTTCCGCTCCAAACAAACTGATCTAATCATTGCTCCCACGGCCCTGCCCCACCCAAACATGCACTGTACACTTTCTTCTTGGTGCCTTTACTTCTTCCCTCCCTGAAAATTATCTCCCCACTGTTGTCTCCACTAATCCTATTTCAAATATTAACTCAAATTCCATTTCTTCCAAGAAGCCATCTCATATTATGCTGTGTATAGGGATTATACCCTTGCTGAACTTAAGTCCATGACACTTGTCATATTTTGTCAGATATTAGTAGCTATTTTCCCAAGTGTATGTCTTTTGTTTCCACCTAGATGATAAGCAGCCCAAGATCAGGTACTTGATCTTAACATTCCCCACCATTCTTAAAAATAATTCTAAGCATCCAGTTGACTACCAATATATAATAAGCATTTAGGATTAAAGGATGAATCCATTTTTATAGAAGGAACATTTAAAAACATGTCTTGTGCAAGTCCTATCACTTACTTATTGCCTACCTTTTATACATTTACATTGCAACACAAGCATGATTCTCATTTGCCATAAAAAAAGCAAATTTATTTACTAATGTAGGAAAATAAATAAGTTCTTCTAAATAAGAGTTTTCAATAATAGTTGAAACAAACAAACAAACAAAAACCCCATAAATTACCATGACCCGAGTTAATTGGGTTTGGGTTAGCCTACACTATATGCAAGCTGTCCTTAATGGCTTCATTTTTCCTTATAATATACTCTTTTAAAAAGGAATTAAGAGGCAGAGGGCACTTGGATGGTCCTGTATTTGGATCACAAGCCCTAGGAAGAGTAATGGGGTTAGGGAAGGTAGTCAGAAACACTCAAGGTCTCAACTGGGCCAAAGTGAGGAAAACAATAAACTCAGAGAAAATCAACAGTTTCACTGGGAATTGTGGATCCTTTCTGTCTTTCTTTCTTTGTCCTGCTAACATGACTAAGTCCTCTAGTTAATGAGAAAAACATTTGACTTACTGATGCTCAATAAATTCCCAAGGAAAAGATGGAAATTGGAAACATTTTCAAGCTGAGAAGCATTTTTTAAAAATTCTAAAGCGTCCATCAAGCCACCCTGCACCAAATGGAGTCACTTACATCATCTTGGGAACCTGAGTCATATGCCTTGCCTTGTCCACTCAGCAAGAAGTATCTAAGAAACCACAGGAAACTCACCCCAGGCTCCTCCAGTAAGACTCCTCATTCTCAGATAAGGCCCAACCACGGCTGGAATGGAGCCTTAGAACCAGCAGACATCTCAGACACAGAACTTGGAATGTAACCTACATATTTTCTTTGGTTATTAAATTATTTTTACTATTAAAGCCTCCTTAAGAAAAATTTAGAACCGAAAAATGAAGAAGAAAATAAACAGTCACCATAATTATACCTTCTTAAACTAGCAAATACTAACAGGGCTTTTGACTTTCTCCCTTAAATCCTTCCCCCATCTCAGCCATCATTCTTATGTCATTAAATGGCATTACCATCCACCAGTGAGGTTACATAGGCCACAAATCTAGCAATCAGCCTTTATCTCTCTATATATTCAATTAATGGGCATCTTTCTAATGGCTTTCATATTTAGGTTTATAAATTCCAGCTTCATTACAAATTTAATGGAATTAATATTTTGTAAATTCTTTTTGTTGATCTATCCCATTACTCTTGTTTTCTGATAGTCATCTAACTATTACAGGCCCCAAGAACTCTCCCTACAGCAAGAAGACTGTGACTCAAAGGAAGTTCCAACAAGATAGGAAGACAGAAAGCCTACTCCTCTAGCTCCTAGTGAGTTGTGAAGAAGGGAATGGAGGCAGGGGAAGGGTTTAGTATAAAGGAGAAATAAACTTCCTAGGTTGTAAGCTATGGAGATTTGGGAGTGCTCTGTTACAACAGCATTATCCGGCCTATCCTGACTGATATACTAAGTTATACCCAAACCAGGAAGCCCTGATAGCAGACTGATGCTACCTTCAAAGTTACCTAGAGCCACTCAGAGACGACAATCTCTCTGTCTTTTCTTTATCTCCTACAGAGGTAGCACAATGCTGACCATTAATGAGAACTTACGGAATAGCTATGGTTACATGTTTGGAATAAATGAAGAGCATATTTCTCAAGGCTTAGGTGAATCATAGGTAATAACTAGAGATCCAAGTCTCCCCACTGCCCAGGTATACTCTACTCCTCATGGACTTGCATTCTACTTATGACCAGAAAACATACCTCTTGTGGCCTCCAGAATATCACCTCAAAATATCTTTCCCTGCAAATTGCTTTTTTCAAAGCAGTACATGGTATTTCTAGAATTTAAGCTTCCAATGTAAACAGCTACATTTTGATGGATATAAATTTGCCCCTTTCACTACTGTGCATAAACTGCAAATGACAGATCCCCAGTTTACCATCATTAAGTTTTAACAGTCAATCCACCTTCTATTAGTGATGATTGGATGAGCCATATAACAATGGGACAAGCCTTGCAACAATCACTGGAAGATCAGGTAACTTGACAGACAAGGTACCTAATTTCAAGAGTAAGAAGAGAAGATGGATTATCCTCTCAAGGTTCATTTTGAGCTTGGTTGTCCTTTGTTATGCAATAAAGCTATTCTAAGGACACTTAAGTCAAGCTAAAAGCTTTTTTAGTTAAAAATTCTACACTCACTGAAATTTTTTAATTTAGAGCCCACAAGATTAAAAAACATTTCCAGTTTCTTTGTATATCAGAGATAATTTTAAATGTTCACACATAAGAAGAGAGGGAAAAGGAGTTTTCATTTCAAACAAAAGCACAAATGTAATTAATTCAAAGTAAACCAACTGACTGATTTTAGAAGAAATAATTTCTTTAAAAAAATATTTAGTGTAGCTTATTATGTACATGCTCTTAAGTCTTATAATTCTGTGAGATAGATATCAAACCTGTTTTACAGATTACAAAACGGAGGCACCCAGAAGTTACGTACCTTGTTCAAGGTTATACAGGTGGTAATTAGCAAAGCCAGGATTCAATCCCAAAGATCTGGTTCCAGAGTCTGTGCTCTTAGTCACTAAGCTATAATGCACTTAAGTAGGAGATATCAAATACAAATTTCGGGTTGATTAGAGACTTCTGGAAACCTAGGCATCTTAGGGTCCAGAGGGACTTTTAGATTCAGTTATCTCACCTGCAGACCAACCAACCTATGCTAGAACACTTCCACCAGTGGGAAATTCGCTACTTCCCAAGGCAACTCATTGAACAAATGTAATTAAAAGAACTACAGACCAGTATCTCCTGTGAATATGGATGCAAAAATCCTCAACAAAATACTAGTGAACAAACTCTAGCAACACATAAAAGAATCATATACCATGACCAAGTGGCATTTATCCCATGAATAAAAGGTTGTTTAACATCCAAAAATCAATCAATGTACTGTACTACATCAATAGACTAAAAAAACAAGAATCACACTATTAGCTTAATAGAAATATAAGCATTTGACAACAAACACCCTTTCGTGATTAAAAAACACCTAAAGAATTAGGAATAGATGCGAACTTCCTCACCTTCGTAAAGGTCATCTACAAAAAATCTGCAGCTGACACCAAACTTAATGATGAAAAGCTGGGTGCTTTCTCCCAAAGATCAGGAACAAGACAATGATGTCCATTCATACCACTTCTATTTAACATCATACTAGAGTTTGTAAGCCAGGGCAATCTTCTGGATGCTGTACTGGCATTTTAACAGGTTTCCCTGTATCCTCTTTTAACTAACTCCAATGCATGGTTTCCATTGGAATTTAGAGAGATCTTTTAAAAAAACTAAACTTTGAACATGATAATCTCCTCTTCTGTCTCTTCAATGACTCCCTGTTCTTCTCGGAGTAAAGTGGCCTTGTGCACCACACCCTACCCTGAACAGTACAGTACATTTAATGGAGCCTCCGTAAGTCCTTAAATGGGTCCTACTCTCTTCCCTGTGGAACGTTCTCATAATAACCCTCTGGCTACTTTGCTTGAAGCTCATTCTTCCACCCCATTTGCTATCACATGGCAAGCCCCTACCCATCCTTCAGATGTCAGCTCTGACATAACTTAGTCCATTACAACTTTCCTGATCTCGTTTGTCTGCGTAAGGGGGCCTCCATTAGGCCACTATGGCACCCTACATTATCCTATCATCGTGATTATCATAGTGTATTGGAACGACATGTGTATTTGTCTAAGTCTTCCAATAAACTGTAAATTCTGTGAAAAGAGTAAATATGCCTGTTTTGCTCATTGCAGAATCCCCAGCATTTATAGCACAGTATGAGTAAAAAATAGGTGCTTAGTAAGTACTTGTTAAAAGTAAAAGCTAACATTTGCTAAGCGCAAGCCATGTGCTAATTCATTTAATCCACAAATATTTACTGCAAACTCCCAGTTTATAGTTGAGAAAACTGAGTCACAAGAGTTTGAATAAATTGCAATGGTTATAGAGCTAAATAAAGGTTACAGAACAAGATTTGAACCCAGGCAGTCTAGCTGCAGAATCCAAGTTTTTAATTACTATACTATATGCTTAGCATGTAAACATGCTGTCCTAGATATTTTGAGGAACACAAAAATGAGATGGGGAGTGGAGTAAGAAAGTACACAGATAAATAAAATACCCGATGAAGTACTGTGTAATATGAGGCTTTCTCACTTTTAAAATACACAAACATTAACAAAATCTTTCTGTTTGGTGAGATGAGATTTGTTCACAGAGACATATTTCAGTCTAAAAATTCTTGAATTCAAATGTTTGTGACTCAGTTACACAGCGGCAGTTGATATTTATGTTAAAAATGGAAAGGAAAAAAAAAACCCCTGAACAAGTTATTCTGGGCACTAAGCCATGTTTAAAACAGTTGCATTTATGCTTTTGAAATATTTTTCTATAACTACTAACCTTTCCAACAGGAGTGACTCTTTGACATTTCTTAAGAATTTCCATGCAAGGCCTATGTTTTCCTGCTGTAAGAGAAACAGAGATATTATGACTGGTACTGGGGTCTACAAATAATTAAAATAAAGGAGACTTCACTCACCATCCCCCAAAATTAAGTTAAAACTTAGGGAAATGTTTTATAAGCATATTTAGTAACAGAAGTAGTTATCACTTAAGCATTATTGTCTGCTTCATAAAAAAAGTTACTTCTCCATTGTAAGAACATTGAATGACATTTTAACTAGTTCCATTATAAGGCTGTTCAAAGTAGATAATCAAACATATCAAGAATAAAAAGCCACTTTGCACATTCAATCAAAAAAAATTCAGCTGCTCTCATAATTTGTGAGTCTCTGAACCTAGTTTAAGTAACTTGTGGTCAAAACACACTTTGTAGGTGCCAGAAATGGCTTCCAAAAAGAACAATGTCCATTTGCTGATGATAATCCAAAATGCTCCTGGTTCTTTCAAATGTAAACAAGTGCAAAATATTGCTACCTGCTTATTTTGACAGAAAATGTTAAAATAGTGGTCTGTATGCATACTCCATGATAAAAGAAATGTGAATTCCTCTCTGAAAATTAGTGAGTTAAGTGGACTTAATGACACTTAAATAATATTCACAGGACAGTAAATATTAGAACAGCCTGCAGAGGAACTATGCATAATCTCATTTTCTAAGAAGTATTTAGAATTGGCCCAACAACTCAAGAGTAAAGGAAGGCTTACCTTTGGGATTGAATTGGATGACTATCTTTGAAGCTGTAATGAATATAGCAAGCCATTAAAAGCATATTTACTAGAGTAAACCTCCAACTTGGACCTAGTTAGGGAAAGGTCAGTTTGAAACAAAAGGCTGGACTTTAGGATAATTCAAAATAGAGTGCTATTATTTTTAAGAAATGTTAATAATTGGATGAATACATTTAACAAAATTTGGCAAACAGAAATTCTTAGAATCAAGACTTAATAAAGAACGATAGCACCCATAATTCCTTTCCTATTTCAGAAGAGTTTATTCTCAGGTTTAAAATGCCCCATATATTTTTGTTTCGATAACTATTTCCTGAGGAAACCAATTGTTCATATTTGGCCCAAAGTTAAACTGTCATTCTATCTTATACAAATAATTAGAAGTTCTTAATTAATAGAATTCCTCTGCAGTTTAAAGATTACCATGTGATCATTTCAATATTCATGAATGTAACATCCACAAAATAACAAACCACTTTGTGAATATGTGATTAGTTCCAGATAGTTCAAGAGTATTATTCTCTAATCCCAAACTTCAGTAAAAATTTCAGTAAAAATTAAAAATTTTCTTAGGGAAAGAGAAATGGCTGAAAGAGAAAACAAAATGATCAGGAATAAAAATAAAAAAATGTAAATGCTACTGCCTATGAGTGTTAAACTTGGACAATTTATTCATTAACTTCGTTAGCTGAAGAGCAAGTGTTTTTAAGCAATTACTGTAAAAGGTCAGATGGAAAACAAATTTCCTCTATGTCAATAGGTTAACAAAATGTTATGCTTGCTGACTCTGTATAAAGAGGGCAACTCAGAGAACACTTGACCTGATCATCAGCAGCCCATTAGGAGGTTTTTCTTGGAAAAGAAGTGGGGAACCCATTTGCACCATTTTTATTACCTTCCACTTTTTGTATGCTATTGTGTAGCAGATGCTTAACTACTAGTGGGCAACTGATATGCAGTTATTAGAATATCTGAGTTCTGGTTTAAAATTTCAGAAATCCTGATGGCTTCTGGGTTTCAGAGGAAACTAAAGGGGCAACATATTTCACATAAATATTACCTTTGTTACCACCTTACTTTTGTGCATACAGATGCTTCACTTTCCTCTGCACATTCCCAAGATATATGATATTTACAGATAAATCATATAAACAAGTATATAATTATAATATCATTTGTATAAATTATTCTTATGTATACCAGGTGGGGAAAGGGGCAGAGAGAGAATAATACCACATTATAAATATTTATTTAACTTTGGTGCTTATCAGCCCCCAACTAGACTCTCAGTTTCTCAAGCAGAAACTTTGCACTCCAAGTTCTAACACAGTGTCTGACACATCATAAGTTCAATAAATATTTTCTGAATGTATTTTTGCTGAGATATTCACAAGTACTTTCAGAAAGAATTTATCTTTCTGAAAGTGGTATTAACAGCTATTCACATGTGGTCACAATCTTGCTCATTTATATACATTTCTCTACTTTTTTAATGAAGAATTAATCAGAAGAGCAGAAAACATCTAAATATCTACATTCCTATCATTTGCCTTCAGCATTTCCACTTCTGACTTCTTTGTTAACCCAAATGATAGTTCACATTTATATATATTGCTAAAAATGTCTGTGTACAAATAAAGAGCTAAGACTTAAGTATCTTCTTTCTTACCTTCAGGATCCAAAAAAATATATCATTGAATATGTTTGAATGTTCCAGTCAACTGCTTTGCCTTTTATTATATGGTAGATGCTTCCATTTCCTTTCCTTGGTTAATTCTTTTCAATGGAATTGAACATTTAGATGTTTGTTAGTGGTATCAGTTTTTAAATATGAATATTAAAAAATTGAAAATGAAAGGGGAGGGGTGTGGGAGGGCGGGTGGGGAGGGAGGGAGAAGGGGACTGAGGGGTATTGTGTTTAGTGCCCATGGTGTGGGGGTCATGGGGAGAACAGTGCAGCACAGAGAAGGGACTTAGTGGATCTGTGGCATCATCTGCTGCACTGATGGACAGTGACTGCAATGGGCATGGGTGGGGACTTGATAATATGGGTAACTGTAGTAACCACATTGTTTTTTCATGTGGAACCTTCATAAGAGTGTATATCAATCATACCTTGATTAAAAAAATTTTTTTAATTGAAAAATGAATAAATAAAATCAGTGGACCAATACAAAGATTTTGCAATAAGGAAACACGTGAGTGCTGTGATTAGTAATAAAGATAAAATTATCTTCATAAAAGATTTAAAACATGAAGTGGTATCCAAAGAATTACAAAAACCATAGATTCTTTAAGTATGTAAACAAATGTGGCTTGCAAACAACTAAATACAAAAGAGAAGTGGAAAATAAAGAAAAGCTATAATGAAGTAAACATTACTAGTATGTGTACTAGTAAAGTACACATTACTAGAAGTAGAATTGGAGAATATAAGTCAAAGTCTAGACCTTATCTGACCTGAGGAACCATTTGGAGATAAGCACATTAAAGTGAAGCTCTTCAGTAAATACATGTACCTTCCTAACCACAACCTACATGCAGGGAACCTGAGGAGGGTGGGATTTCATGCTGAGGGGAAAAAAACAGAATAAGAAAGACCTGTCTGTTAAAAATGGTAACCACAAATGAGCTCTTGCATAGATTTTCAGCCCTAACTCACATCAGTGGGGTGGTCCAGGAAACCTCAAGCTGTAAATTTAGTTTAAAGTGGTTTTGGACTGTTTATGCCTCTAGAGATCTGACAGGAACAAATGCAAATCCTAACTGGAGAAGAAAACTTCACCCTAGCCCTAGGGAATCCCCACAAATAATTTTTCAGGGACAATTGGTAGTATATAATCAAAAATAATCAAGCCCACAATGAAACATGATACCATGAGTAAGAACAGAAACACAAACAGCCAACAAAAAGAGATCCGCAAAAATGTCACATATTGGATTAATCAGACACAGATTATATAACAAATAGGCTTGCAAGGTTTGAATAAGTTCAAGATTGAAAATATCTGAAGGGAAATGAAAACTATAAAATATGACTTATAAGATATGAAAATACAATACCTAATTTTAAAAACTCAATTGGATGTGTTTAGCAACAGGCCAAACAAAGCAAAAGAAAGAATTACTAAACTGGAAAACAGATCATAATAAGTCACCCCAAAAGCAGCATAGAGAGAAGGATAAATAGAGAAAAAATGAAAGACAAGTGGACAGACAGAACAACATAGAAAAGGGCAAACATTAATTTGGAGAAGGAGAGATGTGTAACAAAGCAATATTTGAAGAGATAAATGACCAATAATTTTCCAGAAATGATGAAAGATACCAATCCACATGTTTTGTAAAAATCCAATAATCAATAAAAAAATAGCTGTAACACAAATAATACAAAAGGGATTACTATCTGGAAGAGCATAAAGAATTCTAACAATGCTATAAGAAATTTAAAATTGGGATTTAGATGCAGCCCAAAAGAAAAATGAGCAAATTATAGGAACAGGTAATTTATAGAGGAAGAAACTTGAATGGCCAATATACATACAAAAAGATAATCAACTCAGTAGTAATCAGTGATACGCAAATTAAAATAATAAGACACTAGTTCACATTCACCAAATTAGCAATAATTTTTAAAGTTTGACAAAATCAAGTGCTGAAAAGATAATGGGGAAATCAGTATTATACACTGGTTATGGAAGCATGAATTAGTATAGCCACTTTGGAGGATAATTTGACAATTTCTATTAAAACTTAAAATGCTCATACACTATAACCCCAAGATTCCAATTTTAGAACTGTTTCCTAAAAAGAAAAATTATTGGTGCATAAGGAGATTTACAAGCATACTTATTGCAATGTTATTCTAAATAATGAAAAACTGAAAGCTGCATGTGCATCAATAAAGGAATGTGACTGTATGTGCATATATTTGATGGAATTCTGTGCCACAGTTGAAAGAAACTAAGATCTAAATGCTTCAATGTGAATATATCTGAAAAGTATATTGTTGAGTAAAGAAATAAATCTCTGGGAGCATAAACACCAAAGTTACAACAGTCTGAGGCTGGGTTGTAGAGGAGAGGAAAACAGGTGAAGGGATAGAGGCAAAAGGGATTTTAGCTTTATCATTATATATATATTTTTTCAAATGTGAATGTATTCATATTTTGTTGTGTAAAAGTTAATTTTTGTAAAGCTTAGCAATAATTAGTAAGTACTAGTGAGTAATTAAACTAAAAATCAATAAAAGTAACAATATAGAGTATTTTTGCAACTGAGGTTTCATCAATTGCTAAATTTAAATTCAAAGTACTATCTTTTGCAAAGTCATACAGCTTAAGTCTTTTATTCATATCAGAGTATGTTTGTCTTTGCCCAAGGTCTTTGACTCAGACTTTATTAAAATAATAGTTCTGGTGATAGCAATGTATTTCAATGCTATTTAATAAGAAACTTTGAGTTGTTAACATAAGTGCTTTTAAAAATGCAAAGCACTGGGCTAGCCATTACCCTTTGTTTTAGCTAGATAATGAAGGAGTTTAGAAAATATTTATATACCAGTTACCATAAAATTTAAATTAAACCTACACTTATTCTGTATCATGTTACCTTAAAGTTGAATTTCTGCCTAAGTTTACAGAATAAGACAGTTTTCCTATAATATTCAAAGGTTTGTTTTGATAATTTCAAGGACTGTTGACTTATAAAATGTTGAGAATATAAATTCTTGTTATAGGAAACTACATTTTTTAGAATGTTGACCCTAGAGAACTGTCTTTGTTCACATAAAACTGTAAACCATGTTTGCCATAGTTTGCATTTGCTCAGTAAGTTTACAATAGTTAAACACTCCCTCTGACCTTTTCCCCACTCCAGTCTTGTTACAATTGACTCACCCAGACTGGATGACTTTTTTTGGAGTGTGAAGAAGTATACTAGAGACTTTTTTTTCTTGCAGAACTTATTTTTTGCAAATAAACAAGTGATTCAAACAGATTATTTTGAAAGTATAAAGTAGAACCGTATTCTATTGCACATGATTCATCAGGAACTTAAAATAAAAGTTATTATTGGAACATCATAGACATGGCAATTAACATTTTGCTTTTTGCTTTACAATAAATTCCTCGTTGAGAAAGATTTAAACAGAAAAATTAAAACAGAAAAAAGTACTAAAAGAAAGCACGAAGTTTAAAAAGAAAACTTCTTGAGTGGGGAAGGTCTGACTAAACCCATTAAAGACTGATGAATTCAACTAGATAAGAATAAAAAGTCTACATTGTCCAAAGGAATAAACAAAGTCATAGCATAAACAAAAAAGGGGAAGAAACCATTCCTAATACAAATTAAAATGGGCCAATTTCATAAAATATAAAATTCTATGCATTTTATGAATATATAAAACACATAAAAATCAATAAGAAAAGTGAGCTAAGATCACGAACAGATAACAGAAAAAATATAGACAAAAATACAAATTAATTTTTAAGTGAAAAGAAAAACTACAACGAGATGCTAATTTTCACTTACCAGATGAGAAAAAAACAAGTTTGATAGTAGGAGGAGATGGTATTCATATACTGATGTGGGAATTTCGCTTGGCAGAATCCCTATGAGAGGCACTGGGCAATGTCTGATAAAATTTTAAATGCACATAATTGTCAGTCCTATGTTCGACTTCTAGTATTATCATTCAGGTATATTCAAATAATGTGCAAAGAAGTATATACAAACAATTCATTGTAGCATTAACAGCAAAAATCTGGAAACAACCTTAATTCCCATCAATACAGATTGCTTAAATACATCATGGGGCATATCTAGAATGCAATGCCTAATAGAACCACGGAGTAATAGCCAAGACATCTTGTTACATGGAAAAGGCAAGGTACAGAGCAGTGTGTAAAATACGACTGTGGGACTGTTTTTAGACTATGTATGCATATGAGAATATGTACAGTGCTATCTAGGAAACATAAAAGGCTACTATCAGGGGTAGGACTGAGGGGCAAAGGTAGAGGGGAGACTTATTTTTCATTGTCCATTAGCTGTTGTCTTTTGAATTTTTTACCAAGTGCACATATTACCTGCTTTAAAAAATAATTAATTAAAATATGGGGTGCGGAGATTTGTAAATGCTTGATAAACTAGTCGGTGTGGGCACAATATCATTTTCTAGAAGGATTAACTAAAGAACAGCCTTAAAACATTTTTAGAGACTAACCATTATAGTAACTAGGGTTATTAAAGGACACACCTGGATAAATAAGACTACATACATTTTTAAGGATAGCAGAATTTTATAAATCTGGAACTGCAGTTACCTTTGTCTGCTGTGGGTTGTGTCTAAGTTCTGAAGAGCTTACAAAGTACCAAGCTACTGGTCGCAAGGGAGGGAATATAGTAGATCTAGTGCAGGAATCCTCTTCCTACAAAGATGTCCACTGAGAAATCCACTGTATCATTTGGTCTTAGTCATCAGACTACACAGCTTAGCTAGAAGCGGTTCTCATTCCTGTCTGAATGGCCACTTCAGGATCTGTAGTTCTCGCTGCTTCTTCCATGCTATACTGAGAACTGAACAGGATTTTTTTCCCTCCTGTTTTCACACCACACTAAGGAACATGACTGTCTCTGAGGTTGGCATGGTTTTATCTTCTTGGATAACGAGCGCACAACACCCAAGTTACCTCAGCTGTCCTGTCCCCAAGCCTCTCTGAGGTGTAGCACTTTTGCACCTGCCAGCCTGGAGAACAGGAGCAGCAGCCCTCTCTCCCTCTCTCTGGAACCCCATAAACTCCCTACTTTTACTAACTGTCCTCCATATAATCTCCCTCCTCTCAGCCCTTTCTTGTCTGGTAAAACAAGAAGCCAAGTTCTTTCTTGATGTTTCTTAGAAACATTTTGTCTATACCCCGAATCTCCTAACTTCACATCTTAGCCTTTGAGAATACATGCTTTTTCCATCATGTTACATCATTTACCTGTGGAAAGGATCTCAGGGCCAACTTTTCTCTTGATAGCAGAGATTCTAAGAGAAAAAGAACATAGGTTAGTAGTTCAATATTGAATACTAACCCACCCCACCCCCGAAAACAATGGGAGACATTCAAAGTGGTCGGATGGGAATTGAAACCAAAACAATCTGGGTCCAAGGCACTTCTCCTTTTACTATGCATTTTTTTAAGTGACAATAGCCTTTCAAAGCCCCACGTCATCTAGTATTCTCATTAACTCATGAAACCCCAGTGTGTAGCACCTCTAACTTAAAATATTCTTCTCTCATGGTCATTCTAGTTTCTGCCCTTTCTTTCTACAGAAAGGCAGCAAAACATAGTGGTTACAGTGTGGACCCTGGAGTTAGATACCCAGGTTCAAATTCTGATCTTCCACTTACTGGCTGTGTGACCATGGCCAGGCTATGCAACTTCTCTATGTATCAGTTTCCTCACATGTAAAATGGAAATAATAACAGTACCTACCTCACTAGGGTTGTTGTAAAGAGCTGACAAGTTCCTGAATGCCTGCTATTTAGTATGGGCTTAATGTTAGCCACTATTATTAGTAGTAATAATAGTAGTGTCATTATATAAAATCATTATTGTTACAGTTTTCACAGGCTTACTCACAAAACACCACTGGTTGTCCATTGGCTCATACAGTGCATTATGGCAAATTTTCATCTCCCAATAGCCTTAGAAAGTACTACTTGATAGAGAGAAAAGACAGAGATAGAAATAAAGACTAATGCCCTGGTTAGTTTTAGAAAACAGATATGGCAGACAGGATGCAGAAAGCACTCTCTTATTCATTTTTAGTCCATAGTCAGTGAAAACTCCCTCTCTCCGAGGTAGATGACATAGTGAAAATGGGTAGACATATCCTGCCATTTACCAATTCAACCTCACTTTCCATCTCAGGAACCTTTCTACTATTTGATTATTGGAAATACCTCCTGGTATGGGCCAGATCTTTCACGAACATGTTTGGAGGTTAGTGCTTCTATAACTTCATATTTCTTCTTTGCCTTCATTAATATTTTTGGAAGAGTTGGAATATGAGTTCCCTACCCTTACCACCACCCCCATGCTCCCAGTTAGGAGGATGTATGCGGTAATAGTAGCTAGAACCTGAAAATTTTCACTAATGAACTAGACATCTATGAAATCCATTCCCACATAATACATTAATATCTATTCTCATGGAAAGTCAGACTCAGCATTTGAAATCACAAAACAAGTAGAATGAAAATGAAATTTAGGTCTTGCAAAATGAAAAAGACAAGATAGTCACCTCAAAGAGGATGATCTGAATATAAAAGTATGAAACAAGGTCATTGGGGACTGTGCTGAAGCCCTTGTTTTTGCAAAAAAAAAAGACTGTAAATAATCACACTAAGAAAAACCAAAAGTGTGAAGAAAAAATGTCCTATCTTCCTATCATATCATTTGTCAGAAAATGTATGCCCAAAACACTTGATTCATTCCTTGCTTTTTTTTTTGGTATCATGAATGTACAATTATTTGAACAACATTATGGTTACTAGTCTCCCCCTATTATCAAGTCCCCACCACATACCCCATTACTACTTGTCTTCTCTGTGTTATACTGCCTTCCCTGTGACCCCCTCACTACATTATGTGTGTTAATCATAATGCCCCTTGTTTTAAATCAATGCAGTTTTAAACTGTATTTTGTAATCTGAAACAAAATAAATTAGAAATTTTATTTCTTTTTCAAGCTAATGATTTAATTAAACCTTTTTCACTATCTTGAAATATTCATCACCATTTAAAATAGATTCGTCTTAAAAGCAGTTTTCTTTCTAGTACCCATTTTATACTGATCATGAGGACCTTCTGCATAACGGAAGTGGAACCCAAGGACTATCAAACTCAAACCTTAAGTCTCTATTCCTTGTTCTCAGGTGAGAATTTTACACAAAATGAGAGTTTTCATTACTTTTCCAAACCTCAGAAAACAAGGCACATGGAGAACTAGGTACAGTGTGTTCAACTTTTGAACAAGGTGTTCAATTTTACAATTTCAAATTACAAGAACGACCTCAAAGCCAGAATATTTAGAAGAAATATTAGATCTAACATCATAAAGCTACTTTTCATTGAAATGGTTGTTACTATATATAGCTCAAATATACATACCTTAAGTTTATGTTTGGAAAACTCAACACAGATTATAGGATTAGGGTTCACTACAGCTTTCCGACTGAATCTAAGCCCACAGCAGAAATAATCTTTTTTCCCCACACACACTATCTCCATTAACAAAAAAAAAGAAACTAAACAAATCCAGACTAGTTGCTTTGAGTAAAACCATAAATTCAGGCTCTGTTTTGCAGGATAGTTCTGTTGGGCTAACTATATCTTTGGAGGCCAGACATCACACCATGTGTCTCTGATTCAGATCCTTCCCTGTGGTTAACAAAGAAAAAGGCTCAACATAGAAGCAAAAATGGACTCAACTTTTCTCAAGCCCTGAAGATAAAAGCAGGGTAAGTTTGTTCCTAAAGCAAGTCACTTTTCAGATCTGAAAACAACCAGACTTCATGGTTTCTGGTCTAGTTCATGTTTCTCAGATTTCATCATCTACAAACATCTTCGCCAAAAACACCTTCTTCAAGATTCAATACCAATTAAACTAAGGCACTAAGGAAGAGAAGGAATTGAGATAAGCTCCAATGTTATTTTCTAAAAATATATGACTAATATAGTAGAAGATCATGAGTGAGACTAGAATAAAGAACCTAAGGCAAACATGGGTAAAGTTTGAGGGGTTTGTGATTGCGGGTAAGGGAAAAAATTATATCTTTTCTTTTTCACTAGACAAACTTGACATTTCCCTCAAGTATAAATACAGGCAACAAAAATCGCAGCAATCTTAGCAATATTTATCTAACTTTGGCCCTAATAGAAATCACAAATATTTTCATATCACTTTATTGTTACAACAGATAACTAAAAATATCATTTACAGTTACCACTACTTCAAAATTATTGGTAGTGGCTCACTCATTGCCAGAACTGCATGTGATTAGCCTTCCTACCTATGGATGCTCAGCGTGCAACATGGATAACCAACTACAGAGCATCTCTGGATTTCATACATTCAGCTATCATACTCTCGCAAGTTCACACATTAAAGTCTCATGTTCTTACTCAGGGGACTTAGACCCTTGTTGCTTTCCACTAGTCCCTATGTGTAATTACTTGCAAGTCATTGAAAGAGATGAGTCAGAGACTACCCCAGAGTCTAATGTTTACATTTAAGCTAAGCAACAAAAGCCATTATACTCATACAATCCTTAGTATATAAAATTAATTTTACCTTAGCTATATTTTAAATACATTTTATAATTTTATTAAAGTA